ACAAATATTTTAACATGCATAATTTTATATTTACATTTAGCCATCAAATTTCAAACTTTTGACTTAAAACACGTTTTAGGATACATTCATCATCAAATTCAAATCTTCTGGTAAATATATTTTAGCAGAGCACACAATACCTCTTTTATCGATTTTACACAGTTTAACAATTCTCTGATAATATAATAAATAATAATAACTAAGTAAAACGTGTAAGCCCAAAGTGATTATTTTTCAAATATATAAAAATAAAATGATGAGTTTAAAACGAGCAACAGTAAAGCCTCTCCTCTAAAAAATTTTAAAAAGTACATGTTACAATAATATGTGGATGTGAAAAAAATTATTTTATTTAAAACATTTTGGGGTTTGGAACATAAAATAAAAGTATCGAATACTCTATCAAGGGTATCGAAAAATGTATACAATTTTAAAGGTATCGTAAGGTATTTTTCATTCTTTAAGCATAACATTTTTGCTAAAATCTATATTTTTGTAGTTCAACAGCTTAGAATTTTATAAAAAAAATTTTATAAAAAAAATTCATAAACAAAATCGCTGTTGTTAGTTATCGAAAAATAACCAATTTATGAAAAATAACCAAGATGTGATTTTTAGGTAAAAGTCACTAAACTATACAAATTGCTATTATCCATCACACTATGAATGTTTCTTTCATGCGAAAGTGTCCCGTTTTTCGATTTGTATGGAACTGTCGTGTCGAAATACTATCAGAGCACTGTCAAGCGAGCTTCTGCATGTAAACAAAAAACACCCCAGTTGGTGACCTAAGCTTCGAAACAGTGCTTCACCTGCTTCGAAGTGCCGGTTTGGCCACTTCCTTTCTTACCTCCCAAGATCAGTAAAATACTTTCTTAGGATATTTTAGAAACCTTGTTACCTCCATGGTGGAAATGCTAAACGTCCGACAAGTTGCGCAGAGAAATGTTTCCAAAATCTGCGCATTAACATATTTCCAATGCTATCACAGCTATTTTTTTCAGAGCGTGGTCGGATGGCGCTTTGGTGAGTATTGGTGTAATCTCTGTCGCACCTTTTTAGCAACTTAAAATTAAATTTCTAATGTAATTTTTACTTAAAGGAAGAGTATTTTAAATGTAATTAAAGTGTATTTTCTACAAGATTACATACACACACTTGAGACTTGGCTGATCAAGTGGGAGATAAGATTGAACGTCGATAAGACACATGTACTCTTCACGAAGAAAAAGAAGTTCAAAAAGAACCTGCAGTTATATGGAGTATCTATCCCCTGGGCCCAAGCACGTCCTTTATCTTGGGGTGATCCTCAATAAAACCTTTTCATGGCACCCACACATTTCATCTATCATTAAAACGTTTCGAGTAGGTAAACGTTCACTGTTCCCCTTAATTGCTCGAAACAGTGTACTTTCTATAGACAACATGTTACCCATTTATAATCCACGTTATGTCCCGTACTTTGTTATGCCTGCTCGCTTTGGGCGTACTCATGCAAATCTGCCAGAACAAAGCTACAAACTGCTCAGAATTGTGTACTGCCGCAGATTACTGCTTCTCCGTGATACGTGAGAAATCTAAACTAATATGACAAATTACGTATGGAGCAGCTTAAGTCATTCTATTGCCGTACCGCTCGCAAGTCTTTAGTGATCAAAAACGAATTAATAATCCTGTCATCAGGCTATATGATTATGATGTAAACGACCCTTCGTATAGTGACTAATGACCATACTTGGCAACTTACCAGATTAATGTACCTGTATGCCTTAATTGACATGTACTTTGTATTTGTAGTATCTTTACTTACATAATAACTATTTTTTGGCATTTATATAATGCATGTGTATTATCTTCATTAATTTTCATATCGCACCTCTAGGTTCACACTTGCTTAATAAGTTGTATATATATATATATATATCTGCATGGCAGACCATTTTATCTTAATATGATATAATACAGTACTTTAAGTTTCTTTAAATTTACCATATTGCGAATAACACTATGTGAAATCTGCAGGAATATTTGTGTTAATGTTCTGATAAATCTGAACAGTTTTCAAACATTCATGTTTAATATTTGGTAATAAACGAAAAAATTAACTAATATCTGTATGCATGTTATGCTTTCATGACATGTTTACTTTTTTAAAGTTCTTTGATATTGCTTAGGCTAGCAATTATCTATTAGTTTTCTCAGTCTCTAAAGAACCTAAAGATATAGACTAAAATTTCGCGTACTAGCGCAGGTCAGTCTGAGTACTTCTAAGGCCAAAAGTAAAATCATAGCATAGTTTCATATTTAATGAATATACTCGGATCATTGCTTATTGAAAAACAACATATACACACTTTGTTAACTTATTTATTATCAGTGGATAAAGTACTGAAATTATAACAGAATGCGATACGCCTGAAATCAAATGAATTCATATACTTTTTGTTATCATATACTGAAATATACGTAGAAGTTTGTATGAAGTACAGTATGATATAGAAGTGGCATCATTTTCATAACCTATTATACCACTAAATTATAGTGAAATAAATATATTAAACAATACATATTTTAAAATTCCCTGCTTTTAAAACGTTTTATAAAAGTAAAAATAAATATATACACACTCATCATCAAAATTACCATGAGAAATTTTCAGGTTGAAAGAATATATTCGCAACATTCTCTTATCACAGCATTTTTCAGTTATTTTTGGTGAGAAAGTAAAAACTGTACAAAAAACACAGTTCTTGAGTGTTACAGGCAAACTAAGTATTAACAAAATAATTCTTTTCCATTACAACATAAAAATTTGAGGCAAATACAGCGATCATGTAAACACAATTTTTAAATAAAACAAGTAACCAGTTATTTTTCGATTAGATGACGGACAAAAATTTCCACAGATGACAGAGAAATTTGGTTAGTTACTTGTGTATGACGATACTGTATTTCTTATTCAGGTAAAGAAACACACAAACACTGGTAATTTATTTCTTGTCTTTCCTGTAGAAGATACGAAATCAGCATGCGGGAAGATAAAGTGCTAAGTAGCTGGAAAGTTTCACCATTTTCCTATTGGATGCTAAAAGACTGCTAAAACCGTTTAGTTCTATCTGGTTTTAAACCTCAGAGAATGGGTTTAGTACTTGGGCGTTTCCGCCGTTTTCTCCATGTGTTTCTACCTAAATATAAACCAGTTTAATGTTAAGACCTCAAGAAAGGCATACCCCCGCTTTGGCACGTACAAAGTGCCCCATAAATATTGGTACAGACTTTTAAGAGGAGACAGGCACAGAAAATGGATTGAGAATAGCTACCTATGACCGCAAACGTCATCGTGCACCGCTAAGTGATGCTGCTCACGACGGCGTTGGAGAGGAGCTACACGATTTTTCATCATTCGAGCAGTAATCGCCCTAACAAGAGCATGAGACGCTATATAAAGAAGAAGCTGCCAGATATGCATTTAATGGATGAATTGGCTGATGGGAATGCACGAGCAACTCAGCGACTATATCGAAAACAGTTCTCACAGACAGACGCACCGGACCGCCGTTTGGTTTCGTATGTGCATCACAATTTGTGTGAATATAGGTCTTTAAGAAGTAGTAAGAGTAGAGAAGCAGGCCACGAGCGATTCGTACTCTATTCATGAAACATAGTGTGTTTGATGCCGTAGAGAGGATTATACCGAGTACCAGCATACGTGACGTCTCTGCTGCCGTAGGAGGTTCACGGAATAGCGTACATCGTGTTTTACAAACCGAATCCGTAAACACGTATCATTCCAAAAGGCACAGTCCCTGCTACTCACAGATCCTTCTGCACGTATGCGTTTTGCGCAGTGGTATTTTCAATAATGTGATCAAGATGCTCATTTCCCATGTTATGTTTTGTTAACATATTTCATGCAAGATGGTGTGATTAACCAATACAGTACGCATTACGCCAAGCGCCACTGAGTGAAACCGCCTGATGTCCAGCGGGCTGGTTTGGTCGGCGGCTGCTTAATGAGCCTTACCTGCTGCCATCACCTGTGACACCAGCAAATAATTCAAGCTTTTTAGAACAGGTTTTATCACAGCTTATGTCGCCCTGTGACACAAAATATGCGATGCAATATATGTTTTCAACATGTTTGAGCGCCTCCTCATTGTGCAAGATGTGTTTGAAGAAATATGAGAGTGTCGCTTGGTCAACAATAGATTGGGTATGGTGGACAGGTTGCCTGAGCCTCCATGCTCTTCAGACTTAAGAAGCCTGGATTTCTTTCTGCGGAGAGCACTTAAAGCTAATGTAGATGAACCACCTGTCGAATCAAAAATGGATCTGGTCGCAAGAATGCTCTGCGTTGCTGCAGATATCGGGGGCAATTCCAAGTGTTTTTGACCATATTCGCAATCCATAGTGCTTCGGTGTAACGTATGTATCGCTTGTAATGGTGGAAACATTGAACATCTTTTGTAATATTTTAAAATGGTATCGTTTTCTACAGTATACGTAATATTTATGAGCAATAAATACCTCTGGTAATCTTTGTATACTTTCATTTCTTGTACCTCTGATAGCACTTTCACATCACTTTTCTGGTCATGGGTTGCTCTGCAGTTCTCAATTCATTTGATGTGTCCTACCTCCCCTTAAAAGTCTGTACCAATATTAATGGGGCATCTGTAGTTCTAGAATGCTTTGCCGTATTCAAAAAAGCATAATCTTTGAAGTAATGTGTGATGTGTAAACTCCTTTTTTTTTCTAAATTTTAAAAATTAATTTATATATCAAGATATTAGCTAAACAGAAATTCTTCAGTTAGTGGTCAATAGGTAAAGTGAATAAGAACGATTAATTAAATTATAATAACGTAAATAACATCACATTTACTTTCAAATTTAACTTGGAAAAGTCTGTTGTTAAGCACTTAGTTGCAATATTTAGAAATTATAGAGTTGTTTAAATTTATGTTCATAGTATAACGTTAAACCATTGATCCATGCAGTTCAAGCACAAGAACAGCTTGTAACTGACATATCAGGGAGATCTCGTTTGACGTTTACACCTTCTTCACTTAAATATATAATTGAAATTGACCGATAAGCACTTGGTGTGCACTTTGCACAGGCATCTTGAAGACCGTGTCTTCTGGCGATTGCAGGATTGCTTGCGCAAAGCGTCATTAGTACGTTACTATGATGATTTCTTGCTAAATTAATATCATTGTTGCAAGAACCTGCACAATAATTAGCTTGGTAACTTTCAGGTCTCACTATCCATTCATCCCAACCAATATCACTAAATGAAATATGAAGAACTTTTTTACAGCACGTAGAGTTATTATCGCAATTAGTTATAGATTTTTTCGTTCTCCTGTTATGTTCAGTGGTGTTGATCAATACAAACAAAAATGGTCTTTTCTCTAGACTTGTCTCTATGGGCATGCTTAATGAATTAGAGTGGATTTCAAACTCGATTATATTCGATTGTAGTGCTGTTAGCAATCCTGAAGCTTCAAATCTTGTCCATCCAGCTGATTTATTTTGGCAATTTATAAGAATTTCTTTCTGAAACTTATTGCTTTGAGGAGATTCAATGACTTGTGTGATATTGAATTCAGTTATTCCATACATTTTGTATAGCCATAGTTCAACAAAATGGTAATCGGAGTTGTTTCTTACTGGAAGCGATAATTTGATACGAAATTTTAGGCATAGGTCTCCATCACTTGAGTTGCTAGTGCAGTTACCTGAAATTTAAAACTAAATATTAGTACTTGAAAAAACGGCTCAGTAAATTTCATTGCATTTCAAAAACATATCTGACACTATATAAAATAGATTTTATAAATAAAAAAAAAGTTTTAGCTCGTATGATTTTATTATTCATGCAAACTTTAATAACTACTAAGTAATTTTAATAACATGACTGAAATCGAAATAGAACAAATTTAGCAGCTGTTATGAATAAAAGAATCTAGGAGTCAAATGGAAGAATATGATTTAGGGATTTTATAATGAAGTGTTTAATGTTTTGTATTTTATACTAAATACTTCTGAAAAATGATCTTCGTTTATAATACAGAATAAAATCATTGCGTTGCGAATTTCAAGAGGTTTTGCATTTTAACGCTGAAGTTGATTTATGCAGGTTAATAACTTTCTACCGATAGTCTGCAGTCCTGATCGATTTAGTCGTTAGCGGGCTTGGTTGATGTGGCTTGGGTTTGAATCTCAGAGAAGGCTTCCCTGTTTATAAGCGTATATTGTCTATGTGGCTGGGGGCACTCACAATACTGGAAAGACGAAAGTTCTCTGGAAAGGCTTCGTGGTTTGGAAATAGAGGATGGATTAAATTTATTCAATTATGGCAAAACACACCAGGGCTATCTGCCTAAAGAGAGGAATGCCTTCGTGGAGGACTTTCTAAGGGAAACTGGCTATGGGGAAAACCACGAAAACGCCCATGCAGCCAGCGAGTTCGCGGGATTCGAACTGAACTGAACTACCAGTGATCAGCGTCTTTACCGCTCGGCCGCTGGTGGGCGAAAAACTCAGTGTCGTAACAGCCCTAGTGGGCCAAGGCCTGCATTGCCCTCATATCTATTTTTTGACCATGGGTCACGGGATGCATGAGCACATGCCCTGAGCAAGTGGTCAGTTTGTCGCGAGACCCCTGGTGTTTAGTTCCCAAGCGAATTTGGTACTCATTTTATCGACCCACTCAAGGGATGAAAGGCTGAGTCGACCTTGCCCAGCCCGGGGATCGAACCCTGGACCTGTGGTGCTGTTACGCAACGCGCTAGCCACTACACCACCGGGCTTCGTAAACAGAGGTGGGAAAAAACTTGGATCCATCACCAAGAGCATTCTCCATTCAAACTGAAATAGAAATTTTCCGTTCTCACGAATGTAAAATTTGTCTCACCCTGTGATGCATCTTGGGCAACATTTTCGGTGATGAGACGCTTAAATGACCGAAGGATATTGGACATTTTCGACGAATGCATTAAATTGTCCGGCCATTTGACACAACAGCACCTACTACCGACATTCTGTCAGGATTAGGTTACATTAATTGAGCACGACTAAGCTCACATTTGCTATTTGCTTAAAAGGGAGTTTCCTTCCGTGGAGAACTTTTTTAAGGCAAACTGGCTCATATTCATATTACGCTTGGGGAACACCACAAAAGCTCCAACATGTTCGCCGGCACTTAAATCCATGTCAAACTACCAATATTCAGGAACCTTACTCTTCGACCGCTGGTGGGTCGATCGTTTTTTGCATTTAGACCATTTTTTTAAATGAAACTGTTTAATGCTTGAGACGAAGAAAGCAATTTATGAAAAATCTAATTGTAGAAATACACGGAAGTTGAAAGCCACGCTTTTAAAATTAAAGTAACAGCAAGAAAGTTTCGTCGAAAAATAAATATGTTGACTTTCGGGGGGAAACTAGAAGATTTGCATAATATTGGAAGATAAACGTAGGCATGCAAAGAGTTTTGGGAGCTGGTTCCTGTACCAATCGGATACATACGGCTTAACAGACATTCATTTATTTAAAGTACATCACAAACAGAGATACTTCTAGCTGTGAGCGTGTTCGCACTCACTCCTTTTAAAAAATTAGAGCCCAAAGATAATTAACAAGCGCTCACACAAACACGCGACTAATCAAAATAATAACAATAATAATAATTAAAGTTTTACATCAATTTTAAAATAAATCATATTAAAAATGTTTGTTATATTTCTGTTAGTACTTAATACGCACGCTTGTGTTGCTCCATACAACTGCAGAAAATGGTGCTGAGGCGTTTGCGCTATCTCCCAATGACGTAAGTAAAGCGAGCGTTGTTAAACAGCAAAGTGGTACGTTGTTCGCAAGAGTAGCTAGCAATATACTGTACGTTTATGCATTGTATTGTATGTTCATATTTATAATTGACATAGTAAAAGAAAATGAAAGGAAAAGCCGAAACACTGTCGATGCGTAGTTATCCTACATTGAAGGGGAAGTATTCTGATTGCGTCGTAAGCTAATGTGTTGACTTCGTAAATAGAACTTGGCAGTCGAGGCGATTTTAATTCCATTTTTATTTCCAATTGACGTTATGTGGCCACAGATCACTTGGCACCCTAATCGTGCCTGTTCAAGGACATTTACATTATCGATATTATTGCAATAGGAAACAGCGTAGCGAAATTGCGTTCAAGCACAGCACAGACAGAAGCTCAAGTGCGTAGTTATGAAGGATGGAAGCACGCGAAGAGAAAAGTTTTGGTTTACAATGGTTGTTTCAGTTCCCAATTATTACGTCGTCAGAGCTGCGCAGGCCATAGAATGATCGAGAAATGACGCAATCCAAAGAAGTTATTTCGAATTTTAGAATAGAGAGTGAGAATTCATGTTTTACCTTTAGTTTAAATTATATTTTTGATTCACATATTTTTTTATCTTACATATATAAATCTTGGAAAACTTTGTAAAAAGAAGAAAAACAGAAAGTGATTTTAAAATCAAATGCTTTAATGAAACAATTGAAACAAAGACACCAAACTCTAAAAATAAATTATGAATTCCGTTATGGGAAATATTTTTATACGATGAAGAAAATGGAGATATTTGTATTTACTGTCGAGATGTACATGGAAATACTGATTTTGACAGAGGGGGGGAATAGGCAGATAATTAAAAATTGGATAGTTTTGTGAGGACATTTAAATAATAAATCTCATCTGGATAGAGTACAAAAATTAACCACTTCACCGTTTCCACTAGACAGACTCGTCGATTCAAAAAGGGTCGTCAGGCGTCTGCAACAAGACTCAATCTTCCGTGTTAAATGTGGCTTGGATCGTTACCCCCAGAGAAAGACTGTCGCTTCTTGTTTTCCAATCCCCAGAATGCGACGAAAATGAAAAGAAAAGATTTATGGCGTGATTAGGTCACTCTTTCTCCAGAGCGGAGGATGTATAAGGATCATACAAAGCAAAGTTCATTTAAAAAGACGCGAAATAGAAACTTCGCATTCGAACCTCGGCATTTCAATGATAACTACTGCTAGTTTGAAAGCTTGCCTAATAGGGAATCGCTTTTGGTAATTTTAGATAAAAGACAAGAAACAGAAAAGAATTATTTTGCTGCATAAGGTGACGCTATTCAACATCCTTGAGTGTGACAAGTAGGTTGCTGAAGTCGATTTGGCGCGAACTTCTAAACAGGTGTTGAGACCTGGTGAAAGGGGGATAAGGAACAGTTCTATTGTAAACAGAGGGCAGTTTTAGAGTTGTAGGGTTTATATTTATTTTAACTAACATTTATTTTAAGCTATCTTTCCTGTCAAGCCTTTACTTTCCCCTAGAATTGCCAATGCCAGAGTATGTAAATTTTAGTAGAACGCGCAGAGTATTCAAATCTTAGGAGAAGTAAGTTGAGTTTAAATAGAAGGGAAACGAGATTGTAAGTGTGTTTCTTGAATCGCGAGCGTGAAGGTTGCTAGGTAGAAAATTTTAAGAACCGCTCGTTTCGGCCTCTGTGCCTATTTCGGCAGTTCGTTGAATCTTTCAACTTCTTGATCAGTAAGTTTGCTGAATCTCAGCTGTATCTTAGAACGCGGTTAAGTTAGTTACGATTATAGAGCCTCGTAGATAGTGACTTCGTTATTTATTCATCCTGTCATTTATTTTTAGTTGTATTTTTCTATTTCGTTACACCGCCGGGTCGGCGTAGTTTGTGAGCGTCAAGTGAACGCAACTGTGATTTCTAAAGTGAAATAAAAAGGGATTTAAACCCTTCTTACGAGTTTGTATAGTTTACAGTTCATATCCAGTCACTACTACTGTTGCGGACAAGTTGGGGCCACGCAACATCATAGAGTTAAAAATTTTATCTTTTGCAGGGAAAAAAGATAGCAAGTATTTGAGTTTTGTAGGACGGTGAAGTTATTAAGATGAAATATCCCTTGCTACCGGCAACAAGATTAGTGCGTTTTTTAAATAAGATCCCCGATGAACGCCAAAAGGAAACATCCATTCGGGTGAAGTAAAAATATTTATTCATAATATATTACTAGAAATTAAAATAAACATTTTTTTTTTTTGCACTCAGTCTAGGAAATAAATGATCTTATGTTAAAATATGTTAAAATTCCAGAAAATTGAAGAAGTAAGAGTTATGCTTTCACGTCTTTAGAAATTATTAATTCCATGGTGAAAACCGATAAAAGAACTCAAGGCATCTAATTTTCGCACTTTCAAATTTAAAGCTCAGGGCTTGCTTTGTTCCGCAATCAACAACCCAATATTTGCATCAATTACTGTCACCTATTATAACTATGCAACATAATATACGTATTTGATTTTAAATCTTCTTTATGCAGTAATAAAACATAATGTTGCACATTATTGATGTTTATCTTCATTTAAAATATTTCGTAATTTGTAATTTTGTTTGATGTTTAGTGCATATTTCGAATTAGAAAACTATTCAATAGAGCTTCCTTCGAATTTGTCGTACCTGAAGATAAGTGTTCAACAATTATTCTTTCATTACGGTGAGTTAAAATAAGAGAATTGTGTTTATTAATTTTAGCGTAACTATCAGGAATTTTTTCTGTAGTGAATAGT